AGTAATTTAGAGTATGTCCATAAGTTCTAAATTCAGTAATTTAGAGTATGGTCAAGTGATTGATTACTTATCTTTGAAAAAACTAATTTGAGATGTACAAATCATTAAAACAAAAACTGTCCAAGGAAGAACACTTAAATGGATAATTGAATAATCAGTTTGCACATATTTTTAAAATGCTGCTGATAATTACCATTTTGATTATAAATAATATTTTACTTAGCAATACATGCAAAGTTGGTATAGGAGCTCTCTAGGATGCAGATACACGAAAGACCAATTGCCTACCCTGTAGAATAGCACTTATCAAAATTAAATAGTGCACAGATTCCTTCAAATCACCACAAATGAATCATTACAATGAAATACCCTTGAGTTGGGTTAAATTATTTTGATCATAATGTTACTCAAATAAATTACAAATCAAATACTAACAAAATAATGAATCAACAAATACATCTTAATGTAAATTTACTGTGATGAGTAATGCTGTTTTGCTAAAACCAGGTAGGTGCATACAATGTAAATGTAATGCTGTAATGCCAGTTTTTGTAGATTGTGTGATTTTATACAGTATTCTACAACTGAGTGCTATGGAATGACTAATTCAGTTATCCAAGTTTTTCTTCATTTTGACAATGGTGAAAATGTTGTACAGGATTTAATATGTTATTAATCCTTCAATTGGTATAAATGCATCATTTATTTGTTATGCTCATAAACCAGAATTATTTGATGTAACATCTCATTACACAACATGCTCCAACTACAAAAGCATATCCAGATTCCATATGTATGACATTCAGATAATCCTAAATTCATAACATGCTATGTTAAAACCTTCAAAATTATTACTAACATGTAACCATACATTTATAAGATTGCTAGTAGGAAACATGGACTCCCTGACAGTAAACCTATAGACTTTAATTAAAGAAAGATTGCTCTAGGAATGTACTGTTTAGCTCAAAATCCTTCTTTATCTGTTAGTGATTGACTTTTTAAAAATAATATTTGAATAAAAACTTTAATGAGCAATATAGCAAGATTGCAAAGGAATTCACTGAGAGGAACTGAACCTACTTTTATGAAATTATAATATAAGAATAGATATATTAAACAAATTATCAACACTACAGTTACAGATATAGTATAATTACAGCATTGACTTTGAGTTTCTCTTCATCTAGCTAGTGGGATACAGATAAAAACATGGGTATAAGTGCAGATACAGGTAAGGAGGATATAAATATATACTAATTAATATTTAAGAATAAAAATCATTTAATGATGGAAGGATGCAATGAAGAAGAAATAATAAACATAAAGAATTTGTTAGACCCACTAATCTTTATCATAAATAATTTAGAATCAGAGTCTAATGTCATAGCATGTTTGTCAAGCCCAAACCCAAGACAGACTAGTACATTCCTGCATATATCTTGACCTGGCTTTCTTAATTTTTTGATTTCTCAACTTGATTTTGGTTTTCTACATCTCACAAAAGATCAATCTTGCCACTTTTTAGTGTCAGAGCTCAAACGTTAATTTTAACGTGATTTTCTACTGCAATTGGAGTGCTTTAACTAATACGTTTTGTCTCTTTATTACTACCTTCCTTAACTGTTCTTTATAATGTATGCTGCACAAAACCTTCCAACATGGTTTAGAGTAGAAATTACGGAGTCAGATATGTAAGCATTCTACTCTTAGTTCTATAATCTAGCTGTGTGACACTGACTATTCATTTAACTTCTAAAAACTTTAGTTTTCCTAACCAAACAGTGGGGCAAAATAATGTTTACCTCATTCAGTTGCTGTGTGGACCAAATAAGATAGCATCCCTCAAAGCACAGAGTTTTGTATATATTAAGTGTTAAATAAATGCAGGGTGCTTTTGTTTTTATATCGGATTTTCACTTTTCCATTACAACTCTTTGTGCATAAATATACTTTGCTTTTTATTATTGCAATAAACGATTTACCAGAACTCCATAGCTTTAGAATGGAAAACAGTATCTTCAAGGTCAAATGATATTATAAGGATTCTCTGTTGATTCAAAAATGGTCTTTTTTTATGGTTATTTCCTCTGCATCGCTATTATACACAATATAAATTAGGCCAGGCATGATGGCTCATGCCTGTAATCCCAGCACATTGGGAGGCCAATGTGGGAGGATCACTTGACGCCAGGAGTTTAAGACCAGTCTTGGCAACATAGCAAGACCCCATCTCAAAAAATAATAAAATAAGTTATGGCTTTTATATTTGAACATACATGATGGTTTCCTTCTCTCTACATTAGAGTTACACATGGAAATGTTAAATAAACACAAAAGAAAATAAAAACCAATTTCATATGTAAATCTGCAGCCAAAAAAAAAAAAAAGCCAAGAAGTGAATTGCAAATTCTGGAAAGATATTTTGTATAATGTCAGGATATAAAAAAAGGTGGAAGGTTGGGCTATGTTGGAATAAACATATTACACACACACATACCACACACACACCAACACACACATTTGAGCACATATAGACATGTTAAAGAAAAATAATCCAGAATTTTTTTTCAATAAATGCATTATCATCAGATATATTAAATAGTATATTGCCTTATAATTATACTACCATATGTACTTTATAGACATCCCAAAATAGTTATTTTACTATTTCTATGATGATAATTGGTATTTTAATGAAAGACACATAGGAAAAATGTAAAATAATAAATTTTTACCAAATTAAATATTGGTTGGTGCCAATGAATCATCTTTTGGCAGTAGTGCTAATGTTTTTATACTATCCTCTCAGTCAGTAGCCAGACTATAGAGCTATTGCCTTTTCTTCTACTGAAAAATATCATTATTACTATTTTTCCATATACTTTACTCCTTCAAAGATAAGTAAAGTGACAGATCTATAATCAAGTAGACATCACAGGTTTGAAAAATGTGCTAACCAAACTACTGCTTACTTTGTTATTTAGTTATCGAAACTACCATATAGAATATTTCTCAAATAAACTTTCAATGATAAGTGACTAAATCACAACAAATTAATGTGTCAGGTACTATTCTAGGCACTTTCTACGGTCTGAATGTGACTCTCAAAATTCATGTGTTAGAAGCTTAATCCAAAATACAACAATGTTGGGAGGTGGGACCTAATAAAGGTGTTTAGGTCATGATTGCTTTGCTCTCATAAATGGATTAAAGAAGGCTTTTGGAAGTGTGTTCCTGTCTTTCCACCTTCTGCCATGTGAGGGATAGATTTTTCTTCTCTGGAGGACATAGCAGCATGGTGTCATCTTAGATATAGAAATTGAACCTGCTGGCACCTTCATCTTGGACTCTCCAGGCTCCAGAGCAGTGAGAAATACATTTCTGTTTTTATAAATTACCCAGTCCGTAGTATTCTATTATAGCAGCACAAAATAAACTAAGACACCACTGGAAATAAAGGACAGACGAGAACAGACATTACATTCTTGTGTGGGGAACACAGAAAAATATAAATAACAAATAAGAGTGTATGTCTCTCTCTCTCTCTCTCTCTCTCTCTCTCTCTCTCTCTCTCTGTGTGTGTGTGTGTGTGTGTGTGTGTATCTGTGTGTGTGTTGCTAAATGCTTTTATTATTAACATATAAAGCAGTGGAGTAATATAAAAGATAAGGTGGTCAGGAAAGCTCTCTGTGATTTAGTGATATACAAGCAAAATTAATGAAGGTGAGATCTAAGTAAATATAATAAATATCAGGTCAAATATCAATGAAAGCATAGAAAAGGTAGAAAGAAACAGGAAGGAAGGAAGGAAGGAAGGAAGGAAGGAAGGAAGGAAGGAAGGAAGGAAGAAAGGAAGGAAGAAAGGAAGGAGAAAAATAGGGAAGAAGACAGAAAAGGAAGAAAAGAAGACAATGCATCATAACTTTCAATGTAAACCGCCTTTTTTTTTTTTTTTTTTTCAAATAGAAAGCCTGTGCTACAATCATTAGGATAAAAATTTGTAATCTTCGGTGTCCATGTCATTTCTACAAAAATAAGCCGAGAAATCAATAGTAGAACAGTTTGAAAAAAGAGAGTATTTGATTTATACCTAAGGGAAAAGTGTAAAAATCTCGTAAAATTAAAGTACCATAAAATGTCACATATCGAAGAGGGCTATTCACAGTTAAACAATGTTTTATTAAGTAAAAATGTAATTAAAATGTAATGCAGGAAGAAAATATGGGAACTTACACAAAAAGAACAAATATTTGTGAACACATATATGAGTGTGTATAAATATATATAGAGAGATTTATAGATATATCTACTAAAATATTCACAGTTCTTTTAATTCTTTTGTGAGTGTTGAGTGTGGCGCTATATAGATCAAAACATATCTTCTTAAAATTACATAGGAATATACCTAGCTATTTAAATCAAATTTATATTTTGTAGATTTTTAAATATTTACATATCTTTCAGAGGTAAGTTTAAAGCCTACCTTTTCCACAAAGTTTTCCTTATTTTCCCTAGCAAAAAGTAAGTATCTGAAACTTCACTTCACTTCATACATATTTAATCTATATCTATGCTGATGTACCTACCTTTGCATGTTTTACAATCCCTAAAAGTGTATGTCTTGAACATAATGAATGCTTTAAAATGTTGATGAAATAAGGAGTTATTCTAAGCCACAGGCATTTTTGAAAGAATGCTGTGCCATGGTCATATTTTGTGATTGTAGCTCTGAAATAAGATATGCCTCAGTATACATAGAATAAAATATATAAAAGTAGATGTTGTAACATATACGTACTCAGGAACATAGTCAATAGGTAAAATTTAGTTGTAACCACCCCCCACAAACATAACTTCTGATTTTATATTCATAGAAGCAAAATCAAGTTGTCTGTAAATATTTATAGAGGAGAAATCAGATCATTGTAACATAATTACTTAAAAGGTTTTGGCACAACGTTGAAAAGTCAGAGTGTAAAACAATACAAATTACTTACAACCATTTCATTTAAAGACACCCAGCAATCTGGTGGGAAGTCCTGCAGTAGTGGTACTAAGAACTGAAGACAACCATCCCAGTGACACAGGAGCAGCATCATGCCGATGAGATTAAAAATTCTCACCACTGCACTGGCAAGATCATACGTCATGTGGAATATCTGTTGACCAAAATATAAAATCAATTCTTATAATCAATTTTTAGAAAAATCAAGCATACTACTGATAGTAGGAATTGATGTTGTATAGTGTAAGTATTGATTTAATAAAAATATGGGAATAACTTGCAGAAATAGAAACAGATTACATTTCTTTATTTTTACAATAAGGTTGACACTCCACTTTATGAATATTAAAGCCAACTATGTTTCATGAACAACAGAGATAGCATGAATATATAAATGTATGTATTAAAGAACATCGATGTTGCCAGAAGTTTTTCTTTATTGTTCTTTTGCATATTTTAGCAAAGCTACTTTAAAATAAGGTAGTAAAATTTACAAATGATGGGTAACTTCTACTGTGCTTCCCATCCCTTGTTGTATTAATAGATTTGTTGAAAGACAAAGAAAATACGCAAGGGCTGAAAATTATATGCCAAAGGAGTTCAGCTGCAAAATATGAAGTAATACTTATAATAAGTTATGGTTGAAGTATAGCTATGTGAGTGGAGATATTTCTTTAATTGTGGATACTGAACATAAATAGAAGCCTTTGAGATAAAGGGTACCTGGATTTGGTTTAAAAACAATCGTGTAACACTTTTAAAAATCGTAACTGTTTCCATAAACATTTTGTATTTTTATGGTACACGCTTTACTTTTCAGTCACGCTGATTGTATTTTCATGAAATTCAATATGGTAGGTTAGATTATTTCAGAAAACCCAAACATCGTGACAAATCAACATAATCCATCAAAATTTTATAAATGGAAACAAATATGCATCTTTACATCTGTAACTATTCATTTTTTTTCTAGAATTTACAAGAAATAGATTCAGAATGTGAATCTTTAGCAGTTTATTGTACTCTCTGACTGCTAAAATAGTTTCTACTTATATTTTACCTAGTCTAGAATAGCAAAACCCACTTGGGAGCAGACCTACATTGTAGAATTAAGTTTTGTTATAATTGTTAAAGAATTACTGCATTAATACATACAATTAAATATAAGAAAGTACATATACACACAATAACTTCAGATATTTAGAATCACTTTTTGTATGAATCACCAAAAGAATGGTGTGTTTTTGAAGTAACAAGGCAAACTTGTATTGAAAAATTATCCAAAAAATGTAAAGAAAACAAAAAACTACGTTTGGTTTTAGAAATGATATATCTGTAAGAAAACATCTATAATTCTTAAAATACACATACTGAACTACACAGAGTTAAAATGACAGGGCATCTGTGATTTTGCTTTTATAAAATAACCAAATCTGTCTTTAATTAAATGTTTTTCAGTTTGATATTTTTCTACGAGCATTAATTCTTTCTTTAAACAATCTTTTTGAGGTAGTAATTATAGTGAGCAAAAAGATTATTTTTCCTGGGAATATACACACTGTTCTGAATACTTTTTAAAAAGAAAGTTGGCGGTTCTAGATTTTAACAGCAACAGATCACATATTTTGATATTCAGACAGCTATACACACAACTTCTTTTGTAGCATTAAGAATTTTATTTTTCTGTAAGCTACTTTTTATTTTGGTTTTAAATTTGGAAAACCCACAGAAACATCTTTTTGATATTATTCCCTCTGATATTTCTTGGTCACTGAATACACAAATAGAAACTCTACTAACAATTTCATCAATAATTTCTTATTAAAATTATATAGTAAAACATAATAAAAAAGCTTTTACTGATAAAGTTGGAAAAAGTCATCATGGACTTAGATTTTTTTGTTGTTGTTTAGTAACAGAATTTATATTTATATCTTAATATTTCTTGAGGAAATGATTCAAGATGTCTTATGGGTAGAGACTATCTTTTGCGGGGAAATAGTGTTAAGTTGCAGAATATAAAGTTCTGGAAAAACCAGGAAACATATCACCTTTCAGCCCAATTATTTGAAGCAACTAATATCTATCTGAAAATATGACAAAATCTACAAATTATAAGTATACAGGCAGCGGCCATGATTCAATTATCAGGCTTTAGAGTGGAGTATGGAATGGTCTAGAGAACTAGCATCCATTCTTAGTAGAGCTGACTGGGGTTTTTGTTTGATTTTGCATTTTCTACCTCCTTTTGGGAAATTAGATTCTTTTCATGGGCTCTTAAGAGATAATTAAGATAAAATAATATGCTAAGTTATCAAATTCCTTTAAGAAAACCCTAATATCTATAAAATGTTCTCCAGAGAAACAGGACCACTATTTTCATTGAGGAAGTTAATGGGGTTATCACATCAGTGATAACACATTAGAAACATTTTTTGTTTTGCTACTATGTATTTCCATGAACAAGATTCCATGAATAAGATAATGCCTAGATTCAAGCCTATCTGTTACCAAATAGTCATTCCCAATTCCATAATGTTAGCTAGTACTAGCTTCATACAGTAACTCTGTAATTTTTGGAGAACTCAATAAGAGCTCACATAATTAATTTTATAAACAGTCTCCCTTATGGACATTAATATTATGTGTTCAAAATTGACATCACTTTCGCAGCTATCCCCAAATTTAACTTTGGAGAAGGTACAAACAAGTTGGGTATTTTTTACACTGGTTAACAGCAGAGGCAAATTTCAACTAATCAAACCCATATACCTTCATCTTTATTATCTAACTGATAGAAGAGCATATATAAAGTATATAATATTACTTGTTATGAATACGTGAATGTGTGCATTATCTCAGCCCGATCTCATTGTCTTTTGAACCCTTATAACTAAGATACTCTGGCAGGTATAATCATTACGTATGATCTGAATACTGAGATTAATGGCTCTGTTAAAACTTTACTCCAGAAAGATCTGGAATGAGAAGTCTACTTCCTTATGGAGCTCACACATCTGTAGATAGTCAGGTTAACCAAAGAAGGAAGCATCTGATCTAACTTATGCATAGCCACAACTTATTATTGATAAGGGCAGCTTGTAGGATAAATCTAAATGTGACTTCATTCACCGTACTAATCAAATGGCTAACACTACTGATTAATATTTTCAGTTTTTCTTCATCTATAGGGTGGACAATCTTAAGTAATAAATTTCCATATCAATCAATTGTCTTGGTGCTACTGCATGAAAACTTGACTGTTTGCAAAATGGCACCATGAATGACACTCAGTAAACTGTTACTAAATGAATGAATGAGAGAGTTGAAAGGGTTTAATAACATAAATAACCTTTTATGGTGTTAAGAGTGTAACGCTTTGCTTCTGTATCTTAAACAATGGGATTAAACAAACAAACAAAAATCTTCATTATTATTTTCCATCTTCTAAGTAATCTGACTTGAAACCTGACTTGAGGGCTCAGGGCTGGGGTAACAGAAAGAAAGGCTCTTTTCACTGACTAGCAATACACTTTCAAGTTACTTTCAAGGGGTATTTATAGGAGTCAACTGAAAAAAAATGTAATTAAAATAAGTTTTTCGGCCAGGTGCGGGGGCTCACGCCTGTAATCCTAGGACTTTGGGAGGCCGAGGCAGGCAGATCACAAGGTCAGGAGTTCAAGACCAGCCTGGCCAATGTGGTGAACCCTTGTTTCTACCAAAAATGCAAAAATTAGCCGGGTGTGGTGGTGGGCGCCTGTAGTCCCAGCTACTCAGAAGGCTGAGGTAGGAGAATTGTTTGAACCCGGGAGGTGGAGGTTGCAGTGAGTCGAGATTGTGCCACTGCACTCCATCCTGGGTGACACAGCAAGACTTTGACGCCAAAAAAAAAAAAAAAAAAATAAGTTTTTAAACAACTCTTTAATCTTATTTCTACCATAGCTAGACTATGAACAATATATTTGGAAGACACTGTGCTTTACATTTGTTCAGCTCAGGACATTGTGCTGTTCGTGTGACCTTAATAAGAGGAAAGATCTGGTCACAAATTCTCATTGAACTTTTTTTATATTATAGTTTTAGAATTTTATCTAGTTGGAGTCCAATACTTCCAGACAAGATAACTAATTAACTTTCTAAAACTGAAAAATGCTCTACGATATTTTAAGTAAGAATCCCAAATTCTACCCTAATATTTGCAGAATTGTTCATCATAAGTGTAATTTTTTGTAATATTTTCCCAGGAGCAATGTTTATTTCATCCTGTATTTAAAAGGTCATTCTAAACTGCACTACACAACAGATATCCATAAATAAGCTGAATTCTTTTAAAATGCTTCCATAGTCTTTCTTGATGAACTGGATTCATCAGTCTTTCAATCTAATAGCTTGTATATAAAACTAGTGACCTTAATCTATGCTTAATTATTTGTTCTACTTTGTTTTCCTTAACCAAAACACTATCAAAAATAATTGAAGACTTCTTATATTGTGTATTAAACTGTCTTTAGTCTTTGACTTTACAGACTGGGATCTGGGCTAGTTTGTGTGATCTTAATATTGATTCAAGACTTCTTAATATACCTTCATAAGTATCAAAGTAAGATTAAGAAAATGGGCCAAAAATGGCTCTCTTGACACAGAACATTGTTTTTAAAAAGGTGTAAAACAAGGTTGGATTCTTCTGTTTCTCTTTATAATTTGGCACCTGCACGACTTATAGTTTTTAGATGGAGTATAAACATACCATCCTGACACAAAATAAAATAAAAAAATAGCTACTCAGATTCAGTTTTACTGCTAACATATATTCAGGGCTCAATATGTGATCGTCCTAATCAATGGTAAAATAAATATTTTAAAAGCCCTATTATACTTCTGCAATTCTTGCCCTGAAAGTCATTCAGGTCATCTTTCCATGCTTTAGGTGCAAAGTGTAGAAGGTTTTACTTCATATGAGAGAATAACACTATTCACAGTAATCTCTTTTAACACTGACCAATGACTGCAGTCATTGGATGAATCTTATCAGTCCCCGTTTTAACTAGGATTTTATTCGGACTGAGAATACTTTAACATTTAAAAGGTCAACCATCTGGACATCTCAAAACTATCAGCTTCTGTCCATAGTCTAAAAGCAATAATCCACTCTTC